GGGCTGACATGGGCCTCCATCTTTTAAACTGAAGGCCCTTTTATAATCAATTGACTAATTCAATCCCATGATCTAAGTGATCACTATACATAACAAAGTTCTCTCAAACAAGACCTGTTATAGAAGATGAAATATATCTGCCAATGAATGAATGAATGAATGAATGAAGTCCCTTTGGCTTTTTGTAGACATTCCTTTAAATGGAGCAATGTTGGCTTCACAGCCAGCAAAAAAAGTACAAGCAATTTATACATGCCTCCAACTCATCCCCTCAACATGCTCTGAAGACTCAGTTCTTCAGAGAATTATGGAGTCTTCCAAAGTGAGGTAACTCTGTTGGTGTTGGCACTCTTAGGGAGAGGTTTTGACAGCCAAATATCAGAAAGAGAGCCTCAGCAGGGTATGTGGCAGGCTCCAAGCGAACCATGAACTGAGATTGTTCCAATGACTCTTAGGTCATCACCAATAAGAAATTTGTTTTTACAGGAAGCTGTCACTAGCAAAACATAAGCTCTGGCTCTTACTTTAAAGGAAAGATGCCAGCTTCTAAACTCATCCTTTAATTGCCTTATATGTAATAGAAGAGGTTGTTAGTGTAGTGAGCAAGCCAGAACAGGGATGTGGAAGCCAACTGTTCTCTATTCCTACTATGGAAAGTTCACTGAAAGCTGTGGTCTGAAGCCAACCAGAGGATGTAGGAAACTGGAGAAGATTTTCCTATTCCTTTAGGCCCACAGCAAAATATGTTGCCTTCTTTCCTTTGCAAAGCAACCATCAGGTACTTCTCAGAGAAATGTTACAAAGATGCTTTAGCCTAGGACAAGAGTGAGTCATGGTTTGTACAACTCGATGGTGCTGCCAACCCGCCTCTGCTCCCTCACAGTTTTTGTTTTCTTGGTATGATAATTAGTTGTTGGCATTATGACTGTGTCTTCTGAGTAAAAAAAAAAAAAAATGGACACCTGTTATTTCTGGAGTGAGTGTTCTATGCATCCTATTAATGTAAGCTCTCTATTCAGAGAGCAAGTACTGGCCAACATGTGGTCACCTAACCCAGAGCTCCACTGCTTTCATGCTATGTTTTTACCAGAGAACGTAAATTCTAGCTACTATCTTCTGCCTTTGCTGACTGACACAGGAAGTCAACTCTTGAGAAAGAGCATGAGTTCTACAGTTACCAAAAACTTGAAAGTTGTCATCTAGTGGTTCTCAACCTCAGCTGCTCATTAGAATCACCTCATGAGCTTTAAAAAAAACAAACACCCCCCCCCC